AGGATTGAGGTTGGATCGGAATTCGAGTCCAAGTTTTGGTTGAGCTGAAGTGGAGGTTGACTTGAACTCCGGTTGAGCTAAACTTGATTAAAACTTGAGCTGATTTGAAACTGGCCCTTGAGCTTGGTTTCGAGCTTTTGATTGGTTTGGTTGGATTGTTTGGAATTGATTGGGAGTTCTACTCGAACATCGGTTGAGCCGAATTGGAGTTCGACTCAAACTTGGCTTGATCATCCTTGATTAGTATATGTTTTCTTAATAATGTTAGTAATTAGTATTCCTAGCTTACTCATACTAAAAGGAATTATTTTTAATCAAGGATTGTAATTTTGTACTCGTCGGTATTAGTAGTCCAGGTGTGTATGAACTATCCCCTTTTGGGCAGTCTAATTGGGGCTTTACACATGGACTCGACTTCCAACTATTGCCTGCTCGGTCATTGTTGCTAGTAGAACTGACTTTGGTTTCAGAAATATCAGTTTCGGAACAATGATTCCGATTCTATCGAAACATGAAGCTAGAACCGGATCAATTCCAGGCGATTTTGGTTCCCATTCAGAACTGTAGGAACCGACTTTTTTATTTTTTTATTTTTTATAACTTTTTAATTTCTATCAAATTTTACATAATCTTATACACAGAATGATATAAATTAAATAACCTCTTACCTCAATCGCTGTCAGATATTCTTATTGTTTCTTGGGTTGATAAATCAAGTAAATCTTCATTTCTTTGCTTTTGTTCAATCATCAAAGACATGCTTAGGCCTCAATTGATTCAAGAGGCTATACTCAAATGGGTCTCATCAAATATACCTCCCCTGGACTAGAAGCTTGTTCTACAGTTACTATTGACATCGAAGTTGCTTAATTTTGTTTTATAATAATTGATAAAATTAAAATGATTGTTGAATGGCATGCCTACCATTGAAGAATTGGAAAATCTATAATAAATTGAAAAGAAGTATATGGATAAATATTAAGATAGGAGTTCGAGCCTGTCGATCCCCTAGGTTTCTTTTATCTTTACAATCATAATTATTCACCAATTTGATCCATATATTCAGAAAATTGGAGTTAATCTGTCTACTATAAATGGTAATAAATCAATGATCATTTTTCTAACTTTCCTCAAATTTTCACTAATATGAATATCTAAATATAAACAATCATAATAAGTACTCAAATAATCATACAAACATAGTTTCAAAATAAATAGATAGAATAATCTATTTACATAATAAAGTAAATAAGTAGAATATTTTCAAAATAACTAAATCACTTAGTTTTTATTACCCTAATAGTCAACTTCAGCTTTATCATTTTCATAATCTTCTAATGCACCAATAACATTAATATATTTAATTAAAAGTAAATAAGACATAGGATAATAAATACAAGCTAAAGTATATGTAGCATCATTAAAAACTTTTAAAGCATCTAAATTTTTTTAATAAACATTCAATGATGGTGGCATAAATTGATTTACCTTATATTATTTGGAACAAAAGTACATAATAATTCTTTATATTCAAAACTTTTGGATTTTTTATCATTTAATTTGTAAAATTTTATTCATTATTTGTGGATGAGTCCATAAAAATGAAATTGCTCGCTTAGTGGAACTAAAAAATATCAAGAAATTTTAACCATTCTTGTACGCAAATTTTGAAACATGGCATCTACATCTAATATGGAAAAATATACCATTAAAAGCTGGTTGGTAAACTTGTGTAACTCTGTATATAGGTAGTATTTGAAGATACATTATCAAAAAAGAAAAAATATAAAAATCAAATCATGGTTCGCCTTATCGATCCATACTGTTGTTATATCGACCAACTATCGGTATAGTACGTACCGAACTGTACCGAGCATGCTAACACACAGTACATGAGGGCTTATCGATGTATTGCCCATACCAGTCCCTTGTCAAACCAGTATGTACCACCCATCGAGCGATATGCCATGGTACGACGAACCTCAAATCAAATTATACTCTTTTAAAATGATTTCTATCATTTTATAAATATTATCAACAATATATTTCATAAAAACTCTTATGATAATTATTCTTTTTTTTATGGTCTAATCACTATCAATCCAATGACATAATTCCTATGTAAGAGTGCATTTGCCAATGATTACTCCAACAAATATTAGTACAAATAGAAATGCATCCATCAATCAAAAGATCGAAAAATATTTCATAAAACTTTTGGCTTTCTCAAGTTCAGTTTGAGTATGATATCTTTTGCCAATATGCTTTCTAAATGTCCTATATCCACCTTATTCTTCAAACAAAGTTGTAAATTTGACTTGATTGATTTTGTTGCTGTATTTTCTTCTTTCTCTAAATTAAAATGTTGACTTTCTTGAGTTGGCACAAATGGTTGGACAATCAAAATTTTCCTCCATATGCTTACTTGTTGAAGTTGGAGGCATTGATTTCCATATTGCAATTAGAGTACACCATAAAGATTGCTATTGCAATTGGAGATTACTATGGCAATAGATTGCAGTAGATAGATTGACATTTCAATTAGAGAGTACTAGAGATATTGCTATTGCAATTAGAGAGCACTAGAGTATAGAGAGATTGCTATTGATTTGGTGTGGAGAATAATAAAAAGGAGGGCTTTCATGTATTATTACAGATTATTTTCCAAAATACCCTTCCAACTAGTTATTTAGTTGTTGGAAGGAACAAAATGATCTTTTAAAATTTTAAAATTTATATTTTTTATTTTCAAATTCTCCAAAATTTCCTTTCAATTAGTGGTTTATTAAGTTGTTGGAAGAAGCAAAAAATGGTGTTCTGATCATCATTGCAATGGTCAAGTTGATTGTTGACTCTTACAACGGTCATGTGATTGTTTCTTTTTTTTTCACACCGTTCAGAATCGAATCGGAACTATTGGTTCCGGTTCGATTCAAACTGAAACTATCAGTTCAAGTTCGGTTACGAATCGTGGAATTGTTGACTGGTTCTGGTTCCATTCTTCACTAGAACCGAATCGGGATCAAGTCTAGTTGCTAGGCCTTTGTTTCTTCTGCCCCACCTTTGTCTTTTCCTCCTCTTTTTAGTACCATGATACATGCCAGCATACCATTTGTTAGTATGCTAGTATGGACCGAAACCATATCTATCTAGCCACAAACTGATATGGGTGTGGTACCCAAAATTGAATTCCATGCTTCTAAAAGTATAGAGTTTCAAGAATATTCTGATGATATTAAGAACTAATAAGTGTACTAAAATCATTATATTAATCATTGTATGATGTTTTATACAAATAATTAAAAAATGTATCTAGTCATATATTCATTTCTCCATCTCATTTATCATCACTAGTTCATTTAAAGAAATTAAATTAAGTGATAAGATACTTTGCATTTGAAAACATATCCAAGAAACATTATATTGAGCCATGCCCATTACATATATGATAAGCAATATGACCTATCCATATTTCAAAGCTTTTGTTCTCATTTCTTTCTCCTGTATCCCTCAGGACCTACCTTGATGGAGGTGATAGGATTAATTTTCTGAGCTACTCTATTTATGACATTACTCTCTCTCTCTCTCTCTCTCTCTCTCTCTCTCTCTCTCTCTCTCTCTATCTATCTATCAATCTCTCTCTCTCTAGATGGCCAAGTGTGCACAAGCAGTAGTATGCACCATTGGTAGCATATTTGTTTTCTCCTACTGTGAGGTCAGCTGGCCACTGCCTGTTGCTCCTTATTAGCCTTCAGTTAATTAGCCAATTTTGGATGCCTCTAGCCAAAACTTGTTTCTAGTTGTTCCTTTCTGTAATTTATAGCTTATCTACAATCACCAAAGGAGATGCTAGAAGCTAGTCCAACAATAAAAATGAAGGGTCCAAATGAATCTAGCTTTATAATAGGCCCCATTTTAGATAATAAATAACTGATATGCAATTTAATCATTTTTGCCCTTGATTTGAACGTCATAATCTTCTATAAAGATTACAGTGGGCAACAATAGAGCAATACTGGGAGATGAGATGATGCTCTTAATTATAGGTTTCATGCATGGCAGTGCCTCCATCTATTAAAGATGTTAGGTCTTTTAAGAAATGATAAGGTAAATTTTCTGAGCAAGGATATAGATGGCTTATTTTGTTCTGACTGAGAATCTACTAAGCCTTGAGTAAGTTGTTTCAAACCAATTGGTGATTCTCACTTCAAGTTGAACATCGTGTCTTATTTTGAACTCTTCAAGGAAAATGGTATTTTGTTTTACTGTTTATCTTCATCCTTCTTTATCAGGGCTTAGAGAAATAGTTGACAAAGACTAACCTTGTGGTGTGTGCTGGCCCCTATTTGGTTGCATTTACCTTGGTATTTTAGCATGTAGACAATGTTTCTTTGGCCCGATAATGTAAGTGCCTTTTAAAGACTTAAGTTATGCATTCTGATGTGGCATGGGCCAAATTAGGATGGATCTGTCTAGTTTGCCACTTAAAAAGTGGATTTTCTGTTTTAGGTTTCCATTTGATGTCAGTTTGTCTTCAAATTGTTTCAATGCCTGATTCTGATGACCTCACCTGTATGATGCTCTCTTCCATGGCATACTTGAGGTACTTCTTCCTCTGATCTTGAGACTCATTTGATTTTCCTTTGCATTTTCACTTCTTTTGTTGTTTTAGTGCTGTTGGCATGGTGGGCATGCAGATTATTGGCATGACAGGGCATGTAATTCTTGTCATGTCTCAGTGTGTAGGCTTGTCTTGCTCCTGTTTTACCTCTTTTTCATTTGATCCTCATAACTTCTTGGAGTTTCTCGTTGTTTTAATGTCTGCATAATGTTAGAAATTCATAGCATCATGCATGTAATTTTGCCTATTGAAGATAAAAATAAGCTAAAATTGAAGGCAATGTTTCTTGTTATTCAACAATCTCATAGCAAGGTGCTCTCGGTGCTACGTTGGGTACCTTATAGCCAAGTTATTTATTTATTTATTTTTTTCCGTGTAGCCAAGTTATTCCCTGCACACTTTTTCTGGGCACAACTCACAAGTGACATCCCTAGATTTTCATCCAATGAAGACTGATCTAATGTGCTCCTGTGATGGCAATGGTGAAATTCGATTGTGGAATGTCAGCCAATTTTCATGTTCACGTGTTTCAAAGGTCAAGAATCATGGTTCCTTTGCTATATTAAACTTTCTTTCAAGGTTTTATATTTTTATTAAATAGTATTCTGCACTCCAGGGTGGTACTGTACAAGTTAGGTTTCAGCCCAATATCGGACAGCTTGTTGCAGCAGCTGCAGAAAATGTAGTGTCAATTTTTGATGTTGAGACAGATAGAAAGAAACACACATGGCAGGTGCTCTACCAGTACCCAATGACATTTTGCCTTTTCTTTTTTTCTTTTTTTTTGAACGCCAAATGCAAGAATACCGATCTAAATTTTCATAGTATTTGTCATCACTAATATTTACAGGTTCATACAAAAGAGGTGCAATCTGTTTGTTGGGACAGTACTGGAGAACTCCTGGCATCTGTTAGTCAGGATTGTGTGAAGGTGTGGTCATTGACAACAGGCGAGTGCATTCATGAGCTAAGCTCCAACAGGAACAAGTTCCATTCTTGTGTTTTTCATCCAAGCTATGCCAACCTCTTGGTTATCGGGGGATATCAGGTACTTCTGGTCAAACTTGTGTTGACAAATATGGTTGTCCTCGGCACTCTTAGACACGAGTTATCTTTATGTGCTCGATCTTGTGGTAATCATCTTTGTTAATCTTGGCACTTTGCTTCCGGAGATCTTTGGACAGTCTCTCCCATTTTTCTAATACACGATCCTGTTCTTTCTGTTAGTTAGGAAATTGCTTTGTATTTGTTACTTCCCATACACTTGTTCCCATACAAGATGATCACCACACAATCTTGTGGTAATAATCTTTGTTAATCTTGGCACTTTCCTTCTGGAGATTCTTTGGACAATCTTCCCCATTGTTAATGCACGAACCTATTCTTTCTGTTAGGAAATTGCTTTGTATTTGTCACTTACCCATACTCTTGTTCTCCACACCTAGCAGTGTGATCAAATTATCTTTATGTAATAGGATTTGGCAATCATTTTCCATATTTTACTTGTGCTTTCTCTTTCTTTATGTTTCACTGATATGTGAACTGCTGCAGTCTTTGGAACTGTGGAACATGGTAGAGAATCAAACCAAGACAATCCAGGCACATGAGGGTTTGATTGCAGCTTTGGCACAGTCACCAGCCACAGGATTGGTGGCATCAGCAAGCCACGACAAGTCCGTTAAGCTGTGGAAGTAGATTAAAGGATTTTGGCTATTGATACCATTGATGGAAAAGAAACAGAAAAGGAACAAATAACATGCATTGTATTTTATTCAGTTGGCTGGTTTACTTTCAACACAATAAAATTAGCTTTAGGTATCTATGATGTTGGGTTATGGAGAAATATGTAATCAAATGCATTAAGTGTTCTACCTATTGGGCCTTGGGTAATAGAAGGGCAAAAAAAAAAAAAACAGATGTTTTATATTTGATCTTTGCCACTTATATTTTTCTGCTATTCATAGGGCTATATTTGTATGAAACAACAGCCTGTGGAACACATGAATTTTCTTTATTGTTAGGTGATGGAAAACTATTGATGTAACGATATGCAAATGAAATTGACCTTAAATGTGAAATCTCTTGGATGTGGTTGGCAGATGTATGCGCCTTTCACTTTGTGATGCCTACAGATAAGAATGATCTGTGGACTAGATGCATTTGCACCATTTGGTCTTACCACGAGAGAGAGAGAGAGAGAGAGAGAGAGAGAGAGGACAGGCACTACTTATTAATTGGCAATGAGTACTCTTATTGAAAAGATACCGAGATTAGCCTAACTAGAGCATTTGTTAATTGCTATGGCACCACTATAAACATGAATTCTGAAAGGTAAGAACACTTCCACCTTAATGCACATTAATGGACCACCAGATTCAACCATGAGATACATGTCGAGTCAGCAACGAGTGTTGCTCATCACCTCAAGGGTCTGAGTATTTAATTAGATTTTGGACTAATTAGATATCATCAAGGCCTCACACAATGAGTCAATCTTGATTATGTTTTAAAACTAATCAGTGATTAGATCTGGACTTACAAGAAATTAAGTATAGTCGATCAGTTCTACACTACTAGTAATTAAGTCAGAATATATATATATATATATATATATATATATATATTGAGTTTCATCCATAACTTCATTAATATAAGCCTTCGGGTTGTGATAATATTTGATCTACTCCTAATTAATTCAATTCAAATTTGGATACTTAAATAATATCTTATATGCTATACAACCATGTAATCAAAACTGAAATGACTCGATTAGTCCAAAAAAATACAGGGTTGCTCGAGTGAGCAAAATGTGTCAGCTTACTTTGGTGGTGGTCAAACTCTGGTTTGACTCATCTAAAAATAACCGAATTGCAATGAGAAATTGCGGACGAGTAAAACATACTACAACATTGAAACGAGTGAAAGAGATGGAAAATAAATACCGTGTGTGAGATAGAGGTCAAGATAAGACCAAAAATCACTCCAAATATCAGCTGTATATGTACAAAATTAAGCAATTATTATCATATCTTGAAAGTAAACAATCCATACAGCTGGACAATTACGAAATGCCTATTATTATCAGATCTACATCCATGACGTTTAACTGATGAAATCAAATCAGGATCTATAGTTATGTTTATCGGATCAGAGAATCATACTGATGCAGAATGGACATGATGCCCATGTCACCATTTGGATTGAATCGTCTAGGAAGAGACGACTACTTATGCAGCATGAATTTAAGCAGACGGCGATCCAAGACAGCTAAATTATCTGGTGACCACATCACCATCAGCAATCACAAATACCAAGATGAATTGTGTGAACCTGATGAAGGCAGAAATCAACAATGCAACCATTTTATTCAGATACTGAGAGATCCAGCAAAACCAATTTCTCGCGGTTTCATCAGTGTATTTGTCGAAGGAAAAGAAGTGGCCCTAATTTGAAACACGACACCTGTTCTGATGAATCAAAAGATTGTTCTCATTCCTAAACTACAAACCTTCATTTACAGATTAGTCTTCAGTTTCGTTCCTGCAGCAACACACCTTGTGATGGATCGCATAGTCACAAATTCTTCAGCAGCTGAAGGATGGATTCCCACCTGCCATAACAACAGTAGATCTTTAGATTCTATAGAAGCAATAAGTAAATCGTATAGCAACACGTGCATATAACTACATCTTTCTGATGCAGTCTCAACTTCATCCATCAAAATCTCACTAGAGGCTAAGATGGATACAGTTATTGTGACCAGTTAATATCTTTCTTCATAAGTCTGGAGGTTACCACTTGTGCAGAGACCATAACCTCATATGACATCTAACGTGGAGGTCAAACACTTCCAGTTCTGGTTACTTGATGACTAGATTGATTTGATTGACTGCATAGCTTTATGACTACTGACAATAAACTCACAGAATGGCTCTTTCATCTGATGGCAGGCATAAATCTTTTATCAAGAAATGTTTAGTGGAATAAAAGAAAAATGTCTCACTGTGCTATCAAATTGTGCTTTCGTGGCTCCGCATTTGAGTGCAACTGCGATACCCTGTATATAACCACAAATGAGTACTGTTAGTAAATAGAAAGCTTAGTGTCGTTAGTTAAGGTGTAACTTAAGGTAAATCTTTACATGTAATATTAAAAAAATTATACAATTCAGAATAATGGTTTCATATGAAATATGCAGATTCTTTGTAAAAAAAATTTAATGACTCGGGTAGTGATTAGTGAGTGCGATGCACCTGCATAATCTCAGGTGCATCAGGTCCGCACATGGATGCACCCAGTACTTCATCAGTTTCTGCATCAACAACAAGCTTCATAGTTGTCTTTTCTTGCCTTCTGAACCACAAAGAATGAAAGAGATCGGCATTGGCAGTGCCATATAAGACCTAGATGTACTTGCTAACAAATTGTGTCAAAAAACTCTCAGACCATGCAAGAGAAAGGAATGTGAGTCGTATCTATACATGTTACTAGCACACAGTATTCCCTCACATACCACACAAGTGTACTGAATCAGATAACTAACTACCCCTATATATCACAGCTTAAGAAAAAGCAAGCATAAAAATTGAAAAATGCATTTAAATGCATGGTCAGATTTTTTACTTATCACTATAATATAAAATATAATTATCATCTTTTTGTGCTGACAAGAAACTTTACTGACCCAGAGATAGTGTTTTTCATGGGATTAAATGAAGATGTGTAAACAAGAATGTCGCTCTTTGTTTGCTCCAGAGCCTGCTGCTCGTTGAGACCTACTACCGAAAGTGGCGGTATGCTGAAGAGTATACCATATGTCAAAACTTATCATGGGAAGCTTGTAAAAGTTAAGATACACAACCTTTTGAGTAAAAATAAATTTAAGCAATTCTATCTTAGAAACAACACCATGTGACATCAGATATATGTAGCAGTGGCAAAAGATGAGTATAAAAACATAGACAAAAATGTATTTTTAGCAGTGGCAAAAGAGAACTGAGTGCATAAAGAGCTAAAATGGCATTGAAGCAATAGAGACTTGAAATAAAGCCTAACTAATTAGCAGCATCATATGAAAATTCATAGCTGACATCATTATGCCAAGGCTTTGTGGACATAGTTTGGTTGGAGCAACATGTAAAATCAACACCAATGCTGTCACTGGTTCAAGGTTAAAACATCTAGGTTAAATTATTGATTTGGCAAACTAACTTTAACCCTCTATTTTTTTCCCTTTGAATGTTTGGTTGTTAAAGGGTGAGTTATTTGGATTAGCAAAGAGAATGGAAGCAAGTTATCTTTAACCCATATCCTGGATTCTCCATGTTAAAAATCTTTAAACGGGTCCAATTAACCCTCTTCAACTCTATGAGCATCTAGCAGGTTGAATCAATACATCAACAAAGCCATAAGTCCCAACTATTTGGGATCGGCAACATGATTTTTTTTGTCGCCATTGAATCCGTAAAAAGTCATATGTTTACTTAAGTCTAAAGTACTTTCTCTTATCTCTTATCGTACCACTAACATTAGTCATTTCAATTCTTCCAACTACTACATCCTGAGGTCTTCAAAGCACATGTCCATACCATCTTAAACAATTCTCTTTTCTTATCCTTTGTCAAGACGATACCTAATTGTTTAGGAATAAAAATATTTTTTTTTCTATCTTTCTTAGTAACTTCACACATTCATCTCAGTATTCTCATCTCAGCGACATATGCTTTTTGTATATGTTATTTCTTAACGGTCTAACACTTAGATTTATAAAGCATTGTTGTTCTCATAATTGTTTTATAAAGTTTTCTTTTAAGTCTCAAAGATATCTGATAATCACACAAGACTCCTAATACCCCTTGTCATTTTAACATCATATTTTAACTCTATAATAATATCTTCATCGATCTCTCCATCTTGTTAAATAAT